AACAGTGGTCCTGTGACTTGGCTGGGGTCACTGGCGTCATTCTCTCTCCCCCACCACTTTGAGCACTGAATTTTAATCTTTTCTAGTCTCCTTTTAGGAAAACTTTTCTTACACTTTTTAAAGAATCTATTGTTCTGAGTGCCTTTTTCTCAGAGATGTGCATGACATCTCTCTAGCCTGAAGTTTTCTTATTTTTGCAACAATAGACATGATCTCATTTATAATGCTTGGTTAATTACCATTCTTCATGTTAATTCGAATGGCTAATGTTCTTTCTCCTCCTTATTTCATGTCCCTTTTCAAGCTTAGTTTCCTCTGAGATATGTTTATCATTTTCTAAAATGAATCTAATTTCTAATATCTTTAGATAGATTTGCATTTTACCCACCTTACCAATGTTAACATGTTTGAAATTTCTGTCATCTCTGATTTTTCTTTCTAACTTCTGCCTATTTCCTGGTTTGAACATTAATTAAGATGCTCAGAAGGAAACTGATTGTGTGCTAAACATAGCTTCATGGCTGAATCTCTTGACTTTAGAAAATAGGGAAAAGCTAATGCCAGGATACAGGATGAACTGTCAGAGGAACAGGTTTGGAATGAGTCAAAAAATTCAAGTGGCTATAATTAGGTAGTATTCATGTGGAGATTTAAAAGTGGAGCTCTAAGATGCTCTAAGCTGCGTCCATTTCACAAGCATCTTTTGGGTATGTAATATACACCTGGCTGCCGGCCCTGGGTGTGCTGGGCAGGCAAGGGGCTCAGGGTGAGGCCCTTCCCTGGAGGAGTTCACAGCCTATTATTTCTCATCTGTCAATTCTTCTTCTTGTTCTTTAGGGCATGAGTGGTCCAGGGGAGCAGGTGACCAGGCCACACAACCATAACCCAAGAAGGCTGACCCCTCTGTGTGGTGTTTGAGAGTGTCAACTATAGGGAGAGAGCTTCCCCAGCAATTGCTTTTTCTTTTTGAAGTAGCATTTCCTAGTCTATTTAGAATTAAAGAAAGAATAAGGAATTATTTAAGTCAGTGGTTCTCAAAACATGGTCACTGGTGCAGCAGCATCACCTGGGATCATGTTAGAGATGCAAATTCTCGAGCTCCACCCCAGAATTACAGACTCAGAAACTTTTGGGGTGGGGCCCTGCCATCTGGGTTTAACAAGCCAGAATCACCTGAAGGCAGGTGATTTCCATGGATGCTCAAGTTTGAGAACCACTGCTCTAGGCAAAATCTCTCACAAATTCCCTTTTTGTCTTCCTGCTAAGGTGCCTTGTTAGCATCCTTTTATCTTCCATTCTGGAGGCCCTTCCCCTCCCCCTGTCCCAGGTTGTGCACCAGCATGCAGGGCCAGAGGGCAGGTGAGGGCTTACAGCCCCTGCTCACCTGGGTAAGCACACCAAGGCTGTGTCCACCCCCCGGGGGTGCCTTGCTCTAACTCCTCTGCAGGATCTGGACCTACCTGGTCTCCTTTAGGATTTCACTACCAAGAACCACTTGTCCACCGTGAAGATGAGCAGAAAGTCCATCAGCACATGGCGATCAGAAACAATGAGGCCGGGGCTCACCTGCTAAGTGCATTCAACTGTTCATCTACTTAACAGGTACTCCACGAATATCCTAACACACTCTTCCTCCAGGGAAGATAAAAGACAAGTGGGTGGCCCAAAGAGCTTAGAAGCTACCTGAGTAGATGAAAGGAAAATGGAAGAGACAGAGAAAGATAAATGTGACATAGAGACAAGTCCCAAAATAAGGGGAAAGACCACAAGGAGTTAAGAAGGGAGAGATCAAATCTCAGTGGTCTGGAGAGATTAGATGTGGCTTTTCAGAGCCAACAAAGACAGCACCATCAACAATAATAATACCAGCAATAACCAAACTTTGTTTTTATTCAATTTATTTTGGGATAAAATTCACATAACATACCATTCTAACCGTTTAATACATATAATTCAGTGGTTTCTAGTAGACTTACAAAGTTGTGCAACCATCACAACTATCTAATTCCAGAACATTCTTAACACCACAAAAAGACACCTTGTACCTGTTAGCAATCACCCCCTATTCCCCCAGCCCCTGACAAATAATCTACTTTCTGCCTCTATGGATTTGCTTATTCTGGACATTTCCTATAAATGGAATCATACAATATGCTGCCTTTAGTGTCTGGTTTCTTTCACTCAGCATCATGTTTTTGAGATTGCTTAATGGGTATGGGGTTTCCTTTTGGGGTGATGAAAATATCTGGGGGGGCTGGCCGGGTGGCATAGTGGTTAAGTTCACAGGCTCTGCTTTGGCAGCCTGGGGTTCACGAGTTTGGATCCCAGGTGCAGACCTACCCACCACTCATCAAGCCATGCTGTGGCAGTGTCCCATATACAAAATAAAGGAAGACCGGCACAGATGTTAACTCAGGGCTAATCTTCCTCAAGGAAAAAGAGGAAGATTGGCAACAGGTGTTAGCTCAGGGCTACTCTTCCTCAGCAAAAGAAAGAAAAATATTTTGGAACTAGATAGAAGTGATGGTTGCACAACATTGTGAATGTATCAGATGTCACACTTTAAAATGGTTAATTCTATGTTATGTAAATTTTTACTCATTTTTTAAAAAAGAAGTAAAAAATATCAAAGTAGATACCCTTTGATTCAGCAGCTCCACTTTAGGAATTTCTCCCCAGGGTACATGTGAACATATAGGAGATGATGTATTTACAGGGTTGGTCATTGCAGCAATGTTTGAAAGATCCAACTCTTAGAAACAACCTAGAAGTCCATCAGTAGGGGACCAGTGAAATAAGGGATGGTATGACTATGAAATAGAACAGCCATCAAATAAGACAAAGCAGCTCTTCATGTACGGGTAAGGGAAAATCTCCAAGATAAAGCGTTAAGTGAAAACTGCAAAATGCAGGACACAGTCATACTATGCTATCATTTGAGTAAGAAAAAGGAAAAAAAATAAAAGATCTCTTACAATATAGGTTGCCTACCCTATGGGGAAAGGAACTGGGGGGAGGGGGGTGGCAGAGAGGATCTTTGCTGTATTCTGTTTTTATTATTTTTGAATCTTGAATCATGTGAATAATATATATATCTGTATATAGATATTTAAAACGATATTTGAGAAGGAAAAAATAACCTTCTAAACCAAAACCAGTTTGGGCACAAAGGTGTGATAGGAGGGGAAGGCAGGAAGATGGGGTGAGTGAAGGGTTAGGGCCTGAAGATTTCAGGTGGAGGGAGATTGTATATGGGGCGAGAAATCTGGATTAGTCCTGTAAACGACAGGCACCTGTGGAGACTTGGTCCCCAAGGGGCTAGAAGGTGGAGGCTGGGACCAGCTGGAGGTGAGGTGGGTAGAAAAAAGGAGGAGGAGTGTGCAGGAAACTGAGGGGTCTGCTGGTGGGGGGTGAGGAGGAAGGAAGTGTCAGGGGTGGAATGCACCCAGGCAGATGGTTTTGCCTTTGGCTGGGATGGGATTCAAGGACGGTAGTCTGGGTGAAAGATGGCGAGGCCAGCTTTGGAAATGTTAAGAGCTTATTCGTAGGGAAGAGGTCTGTGCTGGTCTTAGAAAGGAGGAAGCTTACAGTGAGAGGAGGAGTGATGAATCGTGTCCTGGAGGGAGGACAAGAGAGGGAGCTGAGAACCATAATGGAATTAAAAATTTCATGTTGTTATATTTCAGTCTTTTCCTGAATGGTTTCTTAATCTTAGTAGATAATATCCTGTGTCCACACAAGTGTGAGGAGAAGAGAATCAGATACAAATATAGATCTCTATGTATCGGTACAGTGTTTTTGGAGTGATTTAATATCAGTCCACATTCAAATTGTAGATGTCTTTTAACTTATCCATTCCTACAGAAACAGTTTCATGTGTGCTCAAAGATATGCACAAGGGTATTTTCTGAAGTATTGTTTGTAATAGCAAAAATAGGAAACGTTAATAGGGAAATGGTTAAAAAATGAGAGTATATCCATACCATGGAACATTATGCAGCAGTTAAAAAGCATAGGTGCTAATATTATGTGCTAATATTAAAACATGACTATGATTTATTAAGTGAAAAAAAGCAAATTATGGAAGAATATCTGATTTTCAATTATGGGGAAAATCTGTCCAAATTCATACACAGAAATTCGGAAAAGATGCTGCCAAATTGTGGCCAGAGGTTAATTCTGGCCAGGATGAGGAGTGAGAAAGATGGAAATGCTTAGAAAGGATTATTTCAAATTTTACTCTATATACTTCTGTGCTTTGATATTTTTTCCCCCTGAGGAAGATTTACCCTGAAGTAACATCCGTGCCAGTCTTCCTCTATTTTGTATGTGGGTCGCTGCCCCAGCATGGCCACCAATGAGTGGTGTATGTCCTCACCTGGGAACTAAACCCCAGCTGGCGAAGCCGAGTGGGCTAAACTTAACCACTAGGCCACGGTGCCGGCCCTTGATTTCTTCTTTTAATAGACACATTTTCCTTCTTTAATTTCAAAAATTAATAGGAAAAAACCTTATGGAGTTGTGGGCATGAAATAAGCAAATAAATGACAATGAACTTCGTAAAATGCTATGCCAACATATAGATGGTTGTTATTCTGCAACAGTGCCTGGAGCTCAATAAATGTTTGTTAAATTAAAAAGAAAAGCTTACAAAAGTAGATACCTACTAAACTAGTTAGTAGATGCTCAATTGTAGGATGAGACTGCAAAGAACAGGTATCAATTGACAATTATTTAGTGCATCCCCACCTTAGTTAAAGCTCAAGGACGTCGTCCAGGCTTTAGGTCCCATATCGCTAAGTTCATAGCACGACTGGGAATAGCGATCCAGGCGAAGGTTGCCTACGCTCAAAGACCACGAATTGGTAGCTTAAAGCGACGAGCGAGGTTGCTTAGCAACCAGACTGAGGAGGCGGGACGCACTGCGCACGCACACACGGCAGGCTGGCGGACGCGGGCGGGGCGTTTTGCGCACGCGCACACGCAACGGCGGCCTCGGGGCGTTCAGGGCCTGACGGTTGCTTAGGTGACAGGGATACAATATGGCGGCCGGATCTTAACGCTCTCCGCCGAGGGACCACCGCGGAGGTCCTAGTTGGGCACCCTGCCTCAGAGGAGTGGAGGCCAGGGGGCCACTCTTCCTGCCCCCTTCTTTTCCGTCCAGTGTCGGCAAGGAGTTGTCTCCGCATCCAGGATGAAGAGTGAGTGGGGACGGGGAGGGGCGGGGACGCGAGGGCGAGTGGCGGGGCCCAGAGGGGCTAGGGTCGGGGGGTGGTCGGAGGGGCCGGGAGGGCCTTGAGAGACTGGGTCTCGTCGCCCTTCTGCGGCCACTCGGCGGGCCTGGGGAGGCGCCGCGGGTGGAGACCCCAAACCTTCCTGGGCTGTCGGAAACCGGCGCCTCCGGGGCAGCTCGAGGGGCTCCAGGCTGCTGTGGGGGCAGCGGGGTCTCACAGCGTCGAGCGACTCCTGGCGAGGCACATTTTAGTGCGAGGTTGTGTTAGAGTTTTGGGAGTTGAGTGAGATTTTTTTTTTTTTTTGAGTGCTAAAATGAACCTGAGATTCTTTTCTTGAACATTCGGCAGTAATGTAGTGAGCGATTACAGTGTGGCTTCCTGCCTTTTAGTGACATCGGTTTAGTGAAAAATTGAGAGGAAAGCTGGGCTGTGTATTTTATTTTATTTTATTTGCATCATGCGGTAGTGTTTTTATCGGAACTATCTGTATAGGAATTTTGAAACAACCTTTTAGTGAAATGAGAGTGTTATTGAGAAGTTGGGAAATGAGGTAGTCATCCTAGAAAATGTAACCGGTAAAACATTTACCTGTGCTTGGATGTGTGGATTATGGACAGTCCAAGTGCAACCAAATAGAATGGGCTTTTTTTTTACATTACTGTACAGATATAATTGTCATTTGTGGTTGTGAGCCAGAGTTGCAGAAAAATACTGACCTCCTTTGCTGTGAAAAGGTTAAATTAGATGTAGTAATAATGTTAAATTTGCATTGTATCCTAATTGTCAATTGGTAATTGTATGTGGCATAAATTGTGTAACAAAGATATTTAAAATAATTAATTCATCTCATCCACCCTTTACAAGGCATTCTTATTTTCTTTTGTTGGATGCCGTTGACATGTTTCTCTTTTAATTTAATGCACCCAAAGCTGTAGTTAGAATATGGGGTCTACAAAAGCCTTTCCACTTTTACTTATAGTGTGGACTAAATACACATTTTTTTACTATATTCTTTTGTTCCTTCCCAACTATTTATTTTCAAATTTTTTGAATCTACAGAAAAGTTGCAAGACGATTTCATTGAAGATTTATGAACCCCTCACCTAGATGTACCATTTTCCCTTTTGTTTGGGTGCTTGCTCACTTGCGCTCTGGCGTTTTGTCTCTCGCTCTAAATTGTGTATTTATTCTCCCTGAACCTTTTGAGAGTTAGTTGTAGACATCATGACATTTTACCACTAATAATTCAGCAGTATTCACTAAGAATGAGGACGTTCTCCTACCTAATCACAGTACAAATAATGTGTTGATACAATACTGTGATCCGATACGCAGTCTGTATTTCACATTTTCCCAGTTATCTCAATAATGTCCTTATAGGTGTTTTGTTTTTTCCAGGATCCAGTCAAAACTCACAGGTTTCATTTTTGTTGTCAACATGACAACATTTTTCAAGAATCCAGGCCACGTGTTTTGCAGAATGTCCCTCAATTTAGATTTGTGATTGTTTCCTCATGATTAGGTTTAGCTTAAATATTTTTGTTAGGGATATATCAGAGGTGATGTTGTGTCCCTGTCTGTGTGTCCCATCCAGAGTGCCCGATGTCAGCATGTCTCAGTTTTGGTGAAGTTAGGTTTGATCAGTTGATCATTCCATTTATTCACCTTTGCCTCTTAGACCCTTGAGCCCCTCTCCTAGAGGCAACCAGTGTTACCAGTTGCCTGTGTGTCTCTATATATGGATGTATGTAGAAGCGTGTATCTATACATTTATATATATGTGTATATAAATATGTATCTATCCCTCCTTTTTAAACACTAATGTTAGCATTATATGTATATAAACATTTATATATATAAACATTTGCACTTTACTATTTATATCTTTTAAACATTTTTTTTAATATAGTAGGTATTATTTGATATGTTCTTTTAGTTGGCCATTTTGGTAGTTTTCAATTACTTGGTTTGGTTGTACATCTTCATTCTCCCTTCTACCTTAAAATCCAGTTTGAGAACTGGTGTAACCTATTGTTCCCCAGGTTTAAGTTCTGATCATTAATTAAATACTTAACAAATATTTAACATTGAGAGAATGTTCCCAAACAGGCAGTCACAGAGACAGAGTCATGGAAGTAGAATGAACAGGAAAAGTGAGTAATGGTGAAATTGGACTCATAGCTTGGGGTCAAAGAGTGGGGCTGGAATGCTAGGTTATCGTGTTGGTCTTTATTTTAGGGTTTTCTAGATGTATTTTCTTATTTGTTTTCTATGCAGTGCTCAAGTGTTTAGGGATGTATTGATTATTCTGTGGGTCGTTCCTGACCTTCTCCTTTTCGTTTTGCATCATTTGCAGTAGTAGGGAGCAAGATGTAAGACAGTGTAGTTGTTAAGAGCATGAGCTTTGGAGCCATGTAGACATGGCAGCCTGTGGCTGATCTTTCTGTTCTTATGCTGGTTTTCTTCATCATTCTGGTTCTCTATTGCTGTGTAATAAATCACCCCAATTTAGTGGCTTAAAATAACAACAATCATTTTACTCTCTCGTGGTGCTGTGGGTTGCCTAGACTCAACTAGGTGGGTCTCGCTTGGAGCCTCTTGTGCAGTTGCAGTGAGGTGGTGGCTGGAGCTGGAGTCATCTCAGAAGTTTCCTCACTCACGGGTCTGGCAATTGATGCTGGCTGTCCACGGGGACCTTAGCTTGGGCTAGCAGCCAGAACACTACACCTAGTTTCCACGTGGCTTGGGCTTCCTCACAGCATGGCAGTTGGGTTCTGAGGGTGAACATCCAAAGAGCGGGAGGCAGAAGCAGCATTACCTTCTCTGATCTAGCCTCAGAAATGTAGTGTCACTTCCACATCCCTCAGGTTTGAGGAGAGAGAACATAGATCCCACTTCTTGATGGAGGAATGGCAAAGACACATAGTAAGATGAGCATGTGGGGTGGGATATATAGGGGCTACTATCTTTAGAAAATAAAATCTTCCACACTTATCTTTAAACAGGCATATAATACCTATTTTATAGGCTTGTTTCAAAGATTAAATGAGATAATCTATGTCAAGCTCATAGCATAGTGTCTGGTACTTGGTAAATTGTGAGTTATTATTTGCTGTCCCAGTGGATGGAAGGCAGGGATGTAAAAGAGGAAAGAATGACAAACATCAGTTAGATCCTTACTTTGAAAAATTTTACCCTTATCAAATTTAGTGGGAGTACCAATTTTTTTTTCCTGTCTGAACTTTTTAATGGGTTATTCAAAACATACCTATAGGGGCCAGCCCAGTGGCGCAAGCGGTTAAGTGTGCACGCTCTGCTGCGGCAGCCCGGGGTTCGCCGGTTCGGATCCCGGTCGCGCACAGACGCACTGCTTGTCGGGCCATGCTGTGGCGGCATCCCATATAAAGTGGAGGAAGATGGGCACAGATGTTAGCCTAGGGCCAGTCTTCCTCAGCAAAAAAGGGGAGGATTGGTAGATGTTAGCACAGATGTTAGCCTAAGGCCAGTCTTCCTCAGCAAAAAAGGGGAGGATTGGTAGATGTTAGCACAGATGTTAGCCTAAGGCCAGTCTTCCTCAGCAAAAAAGGGGAGGATTGGTAGATGTTAGCTCAGTGCTGATCTTCCTCACCAAAAAAAAAAAAAAAACACCTATAAAAAAAGAAAAAACTTGCATATTCTTAAGGCAGTCATATTTTGCTGTTATATCACAGGGAGTATTTTTTAAATTATCTGTTGTAATTGCAGTGAGGTTTAAGCTTTCTGTCCCTCATAAATCTGAGTATTTTTATAGAATCAAAGTTGAAAGTTACCCCAAATAATCTTGTTCCATTCTCTCCTTCCTAGTGTGCATATTCACCTTCTGTTTTCATAAATAGATGCATCCACTAGGAACTTTGTCTCTTTAAATTAAAATAAAATTAAGTAAATTAATATTGGCTTTGTGATAAAATCACAGGGTTTTAAGTTAGTGAAAGGGTGGGCCGGCCCCATGGCTTAGCAGTTAAGTGCGCGCGCTCCACTGCTGGCGGCCCGGGTTTGGATCCCGGGCGCGCACCGACGCACTGGACGCACTGCTTCTCCGGCCATGCTGAGGCCGCATCCCACATACAGCAACTAGAAGGATGTGCAGCTATGACACACAACTATCTACTGGGGCTTCGGGGGAAAATAAATAAATAAATAAAATCTTTAAGTTAGTGAAAGGTTTTTAAGTTAGTCTCAGGACCCTCCCCTACTTGGCAGAGTCAATCCTTGTGAACATTTTCTTATATGTACTTCCATAAATTTCTGTGCATATTTTCTCTGTGTGTGTACGTATGTGTATTATATATATATGTATGTATGAATATGTATTTGTTCCTTAAACAAATACCCCAAACTAAATGGGATTATATTAAATATGTTGTACTGTAACTTGCTAGGATGATGCTTCAATGAAGATGTTTGAACATAGATATTTGAGTCATTTTTCATGTTTATCAGTGGTATACATTCCTAGCAGTGGACTTACTGGGTTAAAGAGTGCAATTTAAATTAAAATTTTTTTGAGTTTATGAATAATTTTATGTTCTTTTGTGTTTTTGTGATGTTTTGGTAGTTCAGGCCGCAATTTTCCTCACTACACTAAATAATTAATTGGGTACAGCTCTCTTCATTGAAGGTTCCTATCCTTGTTTTAGTAATTTGGTTTGAATTTCTTAATCTCTTGAACAGAGTGGAAATTAGAAGCCGAATCCTCCTCTTTCCAACTCTAGTCCTTGAGAGTTGTATTAGGTAATTAACCTCCCCCAATTCTTTTCATCCCTAGACTAAGCCCCATAGCTCTGATGCATATCACCTGTTTTGATAAAGATCTTTAGAAGCAATGCTTGAATACAAATGTTTGGACTAGGGCATGAAAGTTTCCCTTTTCACAAAAAGTGAATTTGACTTCCGCTTTCACGAGTTTAATAAGGCTTAAATTCCAC